GCCCTCGAGACCCTCGAACAAGACGCCAGAGCTACATAACGGCTCCCTCCTGCCAAGTCTTCTCCTTTATGTGGGCATAACGTAAATCTCGGTATAATATTCTCCTCATAGTCGTCTTTCACATGATCGTTTCTAGTGGCATTAGAAGGCCTCGAACCGGAAAGAAGTTTGGCCATTAGTTTGTCACGACCGTCGCAGAGTAATGTGGTACGACTGGTCCGTGCATTGTCCAAAACGAACATGGAATCCTGAGAACCCTTCAGAGCTCTTCCTAATTCCTCACAGGGCTCTACACCGCTGTCGCCAATATGGCTTTACAAACAAGACGTCCATTTGAGCTCCAGTACTCTATTATCAACTCGTTAACACCGTAGGGCCCCTTTGAAGCGCTAGAGATAGCAGGCACGGAAAGAAAGAAGGGGAGAGGAACAGTGCAGAACTGCAACTATTAAGGAAAATACATCGCGAGGTGATTACCCTGCAATTCGGTACAAAGCTATTCTTTCGCTCTTGAGCAAGATAGTGAGTGGTCCATTCTCTTCTGTGAACATGTGTAGAGATCTAGAAATGCAGTTATAGATTGATGAATCAAAGAGAAAGAACTGGCATTCATAGATCTGCTAATGAAAGGGTGAAAGGAGAGAGAGAAGGAAGAAAGAGAGGGAGAAGGGAGGAAGCTCAAGCTCACTTAACTATCTAGATCCTGGATAGATGGGATCACATGATCACAAGAACATGCTACTTATACAATAGCCATTCGATAGTATTCGACTTGGAATAGAAATTACTGCCCTGATTACTTTATTAAGAGAAAAACGACTTGGTTGTAAGGAATCCCTGGTTGGCCGTGCAAATCAATGCGTAAGTGAAGAGCATATTCCAGTTTCGTGACAGACATCTGAGCACACCCGGGGCGTAACTTTACTTTTCTAAGAGTATGCTTAAGGATCATGAATCTCACTCGGTGACGTGGCGCTAATGTTTCTGACTACTAACTTTTAACTGCCGTAGTAATCGCCGTTACTGAATTCAGCAATAGAACTTTCAAGTATCAATTGCCAAGTGCGAAAAGAGGTTGCTCAGATGGTGACTCCAATAATCAAGATGACAAAGTTCCAAAATAGCGTTCTTTTGTAGGCAAATCTATCCCCTAACCATGTCACAGACACAGCACCGAAAAAATATCAGAGTCAATATGTCGCTGTTATCTTGCCCACAGAGTCGAATCTGGGGTGTTGAACATTTTGACGGAAATCCCATCTTAGGGGATTACGGTGGCCAATTCGATTGCATAACTCCTTGTCCTCGATAAAAGCCGCTAATCATCGAGACATATAAATGTCAAGGCGCTGTCGATCACTCACTTCTGCTGCTATCCTTCTACTTCTTTTCGCAACTGTGACCAAGTATCCAGCCCACCCGCAAGGTGACATTGCCTTGTATTTGAGTGCAACCACTCGGGTGATGGAGGGGACTGCTCTCAAATGGCAGAGTGCTAGACATGCCAAAAGGCCTCTCATTAATTTGCAACGGAAATGGGAGATGAGAACAAGATCGAAACACTTCACCAGCTTAGGGCAGATCACTTCTAGAAAGCGCTCAAGAACGTTGACTGGGGCCGGTCAAACAGGCCCGATGCGTGAAGCCCGTCCTAGACGTGGTCGTTGTGCGCTCAATACTGATTTGCACGAGTGTAGCTATACACAGGAGATAGGCTATAACTTGACAACATTGGAAGTCGAACTTCAAATAATATTTACTATTCTGTCCTCGGAATTGTAATTTCAAATTATTTATTTCGTCCCGGGAATTATCTCATCACCGTTCTCATCAAATTGAATCTTCCCCCCGGTTTCCAAGCTTTTCCGCAAGGCAGTTGCTATTTTCAAGCCGGTAAGAGCAGCAGAAAGCGTCATCGGAAGTTCACTTTTATCTAATATAGCATCTGTAAATTCGTTCAACTCGGTCACGAAGGCTTCTCGGTACCGGTCAATCCAACTGGGACTAACTTCCTGCGTGATTCCGGCTGCATTCGACACCTGAACCCTGTTGTGGTGCGGCACGGAGTTGATTGAGATTTTCCCCGTCATACCAATTATGTCCGTAGAATTGTCATATCCATTGGAGGTTGTGCGGGAGTGGTAGTAGTGGGCAATCCGGCCACCCCAGAACTCAACCACAGCCACAGCGTTGTCAACATCCTTGAAATCTTTCATCTCGTGGTGATGGGCGATGATCCCGGTCGCCCAGAGTGCTTTAGGCTGGATGTCATCACCAAGGATTGACAAGGTGAGGTCGATATCATGAATGACAGTATCCAAAAAGATTCCCCCACTCACTCGAGCATACTCGATAAAGTATCCGGTCTTGTCCAGTTTCTCGGCACCGTGCGATCGCACAATAATGGGTTCACCTATTGCACCGTCTTTGATCTTCCGGAGCGCATCCTGATAGTTTTCATCGAAACGGCGAACAAATCCAACCATGACCTTTGTCTGCGGATGCAGCTCTGCTTTTTGCATCAACTGGCGTAGCTGGTGAAAAGAAATGAGCAACTATACCATTATGACAGTGTTCTGCCTCTTACCTGAGCCGTATCTTTGGTCACTGGTTTCTCACAAAGAACGTGGATTCCAAGCTCCATGGCGGCCAATGTCTGCGAGAAGTGGAGCTCTGATGGAGACGCAATGACCACAGCATCCAGTCCGGGCGTACGAATCATCGCTTCGAAAGTATCAAACACCTGCACGCCCTCCGGCTCCAGGTCTTTCTTAGCCCATTCGATCTCATGCGGTGCTGGTGAACAGACGGCGAAGAGCCTTGCTCGAGGGACTTGATGAAGGACATTCAGTGCATGGCGCTGGCCCATTCGGCCTAAACCAACAACCCCGATATTGGCTTTCAGGCTGGTCTGGGTCATCGCGAGGGTAGCTTGTAACAGGTCGAAGAGTGAGGAAAGAAAAAATGAATGAGTGTGATGGAATTGCGTTTCTGAACGAATGTGCGGGTGTCTTTATCTTTCACTATCCGGGATTCAAATGCCGGGCGGCGAATCTTCCGAGAGTAGATGAAGCTCAACAAATCCGGGGATGATCCCTCGCCCCGGGGTTGGCTTTTCGCGTACCCCTTTGGGGGAATGGTCTCCGGTGCCATCGGCGAGGGATGTGGAGGCATTTACCCAGATCAGCCCCCGAAAGCGGGGATATTTGAGTCTGAAGCTGGGTGGTGAAATCCGTTTTATCCTTATAAATTGGTCACTGGGGTCGGCGGGGTTTCGCTGTTTTTATTGTTCAAGTTAATCAATTTGTTTCTCGAAAGCAAATTGGCTATGTTCCTCTCCACCATTCAGGAAAATCGTCACCAGTTCGGCATCACCGCTGCCTGTGGTGCCGGATTCTTGCTCTTTGGATATGACCAGGGAGTGTTCGGTGGCTTGCTTGACAATGATCCTTTTCTACGAACCTTTGGGTATCCCGATGCGACGATTCAAGGCCAAATCGTGGCTACGTACGATATCGGCTGCATCATCGGCACGTTAGTTTCTATGTTTGCCGGAGACAAGCTGGGCCGCCGCAAGTGTATAGACAAGACGATCCCGAAGCCCAGTTCAACCCAAGCTGAAGTTTTCGCATGCGCTGGTAAAGTGCGACCGGTTTTCAATTATTGGTGTTTGCGATAATTCTATTTTCACAAATTATCTGTGTTGGTGTATCTGTGCAAAACATATAACTTCATTTGCTTGCGAATCAAAAATAGCTTGTATTTGGCTGTATGTGTGCAGAAGCATTTTGTTGTGGTACTGTACTCCGCAGATCCTCCAAATAGGGTAAAGTTGTTGACATCTCAAAAACGTGCTTTGACTTTAACAGAATAAGGTATCTCTATCTCACGCAACGAGATTTACAGAAATCAAATACCACGATAAGAACGACCACGCAGAGAAATATGGCGTCGCAAACGTCCGCAGACTTCAAAAGTACCCACACCTGTGCCGGAGATACCCTAGTATTGTCGACCGGCCATGGAAATCGGAATTCAAGTTCGAGTTTCGTACCGTCCACGGCACCAATAATTACCACCTGGCCATGTAAGGGATATGTTGAGTTCTGTGCTCGCCGCTATTCGAACATAACCATGGTCGCTGCACATAATAGTCCATTCGTTAGAGACGATAGTCTGTCGGCCAATCAGGCGCTGAACGTCAGGTATCAGTTAAACGACAGAATTCGCATGCGTGAGTGGCTCTCCATATATTCATAGGGAATTAGAAATCTAACATGGTAATACTGGAATTTGAAACCCACTGGATAAACGACACCATGTATGTTTGCCACACGATACTCAGGGCGTGCTCAGTTTTACTTAGTGAGCAAAAAGCGGCAAGAGGTGAGCACTAAAACGGAACGGGAAAGCGAAGACTTGTCAGACATTATCCTGTCTATATGTCGTTGGGGTAAGACATCCGGTTATTATCAACCTACATATGTATTTACTGGTTACCTGGGTACTCGCTCTTTACAATTGCGGTCTCTCCGCCATCTTTCTGTTCATTGCCTTAGTCTCACGTATAGGCTTGTAAAATACAGGATCGTCGCTGATTTCCATCAAATATAGATAAGTGGGGTTTTTGAGCGAAAATTGCCCATGAACAGTTTGCGGCATTCTTCCGAAGGGGTGTAGATTATTCATCTTAAATGCACATCCATGGATGTGATTCCTCGCACGCCCCTGGATTACGAACGAAGGGAGTGACTTTGGACTCACGATGTTCAGTAATCAAGGCCGACAACCTTGGAGGCTTGAACCTTCACTGGCAAACTGATTACCATCGCATTCCGACACAACACAATAGCTTAGCTTTGATCTAAGAAGCGGTTTCGACATAGTATCCATATAAGTCAGTAAGTGCAAATATTTATTCGTTAGAGTGACCTAGCACTTTACTTCACTTAGATTTCCATACCCCTGCCTCACTTCGTGCCATTCAAGGCTCACACAGTATGGCGTCTTCATCCAAACGCTCTATTCTGATCACTGGGTTCGTTGCAAGAAGAGGCTTTCTTCTACTTTTCTCTCATCAAAGCATTATGGGCTGACAGATGCTGCATTGTGTAGCTGCTCACCAGGTGGGGTTGGCCATGCTCTCGCCCTCGAATTTCACTCTCATGGCATGCGCGTTTTTGCGACTGCTCGATCCGCCAGTTCTCTCTCCACGTTAGCAGAGAAAGGCATCGAAACACATGAGCTAGACGTGACGAACGCGGAGAGCATCACAGCGTTAAGAGATGAGATTTTCAAGCGGACTGGAGGCAAACTCGATATGCTGTTTAACAATGCTGGCTCAAGTATGTCACGTTCTGTTCTTCCCCATACTTCTCCTCACTTGTCAATTCATTCGCCGTTTTACCTATGTTAACCGCATTTTTCTGTCACAGTGTATGAAGCTCCGGCAATCGAAGCCGATCCTGCGCGTATACGTGGAATGTTCGATACGAACGTTTTTGGCCTGTTCGATATGGTCTCCGCGTTTACTCCTCTTCTCCTAGCCTCCACGATTAATCCAGCTACGCCGCCAGTCATCATCAATACCTCGTCAGTTCTTGCACGAGTTCCATATCCTTTTTCGGCCGCATACAATGCCTCGAAAGCAGCCGTGGCTTCTTACAGCGACGCTCTCCGCATCGAACTTGGCCCACTCGGTATCAAAGTTGTTACGCTCTTTATGGGTGAAGTCGCAACAAATCTCGTGTCTCCTGACAATATCTCGTTTGATCCTGAAAGTATTTACACCGTTGCGTTAGAGGGTACTAAGGAGCGAGGTCGAAACCATGTCAGAAACAGCATGAAGCCAGAAGTGTTTGCCAAACAAGTTGTTCAAGCTATCTTGGCTAAACATTCTGGATATAGAAAGGGGGACTTCCTGTGGAAGGGGACCAATGCTTGGTTGATTTGGTTTTTGAATTTCCTTGGGTGGAGATATATGCTGAACAACGCCGCTGAAAAGATGATCGGCCTCGATAAAAAAGAAGTCCGAAAGTCTATTCTTGACAAAGCTAGAAAGCTGTGGACAAAGGAAAAGGTGCAGGAAATCTAATAATATGTTAATGGAGTATCATCTGTGGCGATTTAGTCCAATCCTTTTTGCGTTGCTTGCTTGGTTATTTGGAGTACTCAGTCGGAGACCAGGAAATAATTGACGTATTTTATTGCTTTGTATCTCAAACTACTTCGACTGCATTGGCACACGGTCATTGCTTGTTTCTCAGTTTACTGTTAAGAAGAACCATCATCGTCATAGCTTCTCCGCCTTTGTAGTCGGCCTTGTAGCCTCTCGTAGGATGGCTGGCCAAGGACAAACGCAAAACGATAATCATGAGTTACTCAGCGTCAAGTACCACTCTGGTAAAAATTGGATGGTATTCTCAAATTTGATCAGCCAAATGCTAGCCCACGATTCATTTCATTATCAATAACATAAACGCCTTTTACAGCCCGACAGACTATTCCTGAACATTAAGTAGAGGGTATAAGGAACTTCATAGGATTCCTGCGAGGCGCATTGCAGCCTCAACAGTTTGGCGTCGGAACGCCGGACCATGTCCGAAGCAAATGCACTCAGTGGCGAGGTCTATATTCATTAGCATTTTGAAGCCAGTGTATCCGTAACCAGGTACTCACACTGAACAAGGGCCGCAACGTGAAGCGACGAAATAAGACTTGAGCGAGATGATGGGCGACCATAGTCCTGGCAAAATCCCCTCTCGCTGAGCAATTTCTGTACACCACTGGCATCTAGCCATTCACCCGCCTGGGATGCAACAGCCGATGATAATTCCTCAGTCTGGGTCGCGAGCGCTTCGGAGGCATAATTATCTCTCATGGTATGCAACGGGGCAAGCACAGTGGCCATGAGATCAATGAGGCCTCCAGTTTTGTCATGTATTCCAGCATGGAAACAGGAAATGAAATTATCGCGCTCGGTTGGAGCCATGGATGACCCAAAAACTTCTTGAATCTTCACGAAGTCGTTCGGAGTGTTGACAAGGAGCTGATACCCATTCTGACAGCATACTTTTACCAGATACTGTGAGAAGGTCCACTGCTCTGCCTTGATCGGGCTATTGGGAGAAATGGCAGGGGAGTGACCTGGTAATGATGATAGCAGAATTGGTGACTCCTTCGGGGGCGTCGGTTGGGATTGATAGAGGGATGATTGTGCGTACAAGGGTGGCAGCTCAGCCCATCCTATCGGGGTTGATGATAGTAGGTTGGGACTCCTTTCATTTGATGGCACCCTTGTGGGACTGCTGCACCTTTCATCCTTGTCAGAGGCAGTGGATGAAGTGGCGCCAACAGCCTTGTCGAGAGCCCCTTCATGAGGGCTCGCGCACCCAGTTTGAGCAAGCGAAAGGTGTTGCTGGGTTATTTTTCGGAGCGCTGTCGTGACATGTGAATGCTTTCCAAGGAGACCAGTTTCCAAAAGGAGATCACTGAAGGTGAGAAAGGACTGGCTGAGCTGCTCAATGCCAGCCTCAAGCTCGTGGACACGATCCTGAAGGTCGCCAATGGTGTTCTCTTTTCGCGTGCGATAAGCTTGCTGTGCCACGCGTAGTTGCTCACGGCGCCTCTAATTGGAGTCAGTTATCGAATACATTTTGTCCTTTAGATTTCACTCACATCTCGTGCTTGTTGGGTTTCAAATTTCCGGGGACGCCCTTTCTTCCGCACCACGTCTGTCTTCTGTTTTCCTTCCATTAGATTTGTGCCAGCCTACGGTTGATGAGACCAAGTACATCCAGTGGATAAAATTAATTAAAGGGCCCAAGAAGCTCATGAAGATCTCCAGGGCTATCAATATAGATTATTCATCATCCAGACCCTATCCGATAACCTTAAAAGTGCGCAGGTGGCAATGCGGCAATGTTGAATAATCCGAAATACGCCCCTCGCATGTCAGCCCCAACACTTGAGCACTTGAGCATACAGAGTAGACTACGAGAATTATTTCTAAGGAATAGGCTTCCTCAAAAAGACTTGATATGGGTCTGGACTGTGTAGTTCCAGGGCTAGAGTTAGCTTAATAGCTGGTTGAGTAATCGTCCCTTAAGTAGAAGGGGGATTCACATACGCACTCATTTCCATGGTTTATTCATCTTTCTGCAGCATACAGCACTACTAAGCCCCTATCACTGATTTGGGAGTAATAATTCAAGGATCTTTAGAGACGGGATGATTACAGTGGATCAACTCAAGCCCAACTTTGTACCTGCATGGACTGGCTAGACTCGCTAGAATGAAGTTATTTGAACAGCTTTGTCCTCAGCCTCATGTAACCTATTTGCCTATTTCTTCTTTTCATCCTGTTACATTTTGTTTGTAGGTTTCTTCCTTCATAAAGCTGCGGGACTGCTAACTCAGTCCGTATAGATATTCTTGCGCACCACTACTGCAGTGACAAGACTGCGACAGTCTCCAAATGGCTCTCTCCACGTCAAGTGCCGGCAGCAATTTGGAAACTTTTTCCAACCTGGAGAAATTGCCAGATCAAACAGAAGACATCGATGCCGCGGACACTTCGACAGAAGAGGAGTCCCCTAGGACCCAAACAACATGGCACATGGCCGACGAACTGCAAGCCTTGAAAGAGCGAGACCAGCAGAATGGCGAGAAAGCTCGGAAACTTGGAGTCACTTGGCAGAACCTCACTGTCAAAGGTGTCAGCAGCGACGCTACATTCAACGAGAATGTCCTCTCACAATTCAACCTCTTCGGAAATCGCGGTAGCAAATCTCCCATGAAAACAATACTCGACAACTCTTATGGCTGTGTTAAGCCCGGAGAGATGCTGCTCGTCCTCGGCCGCCCCGGATCAGGGTGCACAACATTGCTCAATGTGCTCTCGAACAACCGTCATGGTTATGCAGATGTTAACGGTGACGTTGCCTTTGGAACCATGTCTGCTGAGGAAGCCAAGCAATATCGTGGTCAGATTATCATGAACTCGGAAGAGGAAATCTTCTTCCCGACATTGACTGTCGGCGAGACCATCGATTTTGCTGCCCGTATGAAGGTCCCATCCCAACTACCGCCAGGGATCAAGTCGGCGGAGGAGTACGCTGAACTCAATAAGGAATTCCTTTTACGGTCAGTGGGTATCTCACACACTGAATCTACCAAAGTGGGAGACGCATTCACCCGAGGAGTCTCTGGAGGAGAGAGGAAACGCGTTTCCATCCTTGAGTGCTTGACAACTCGAGCAAGCATCTTCTGCTGGGACAACCCCACACGAGGTCTCGATGCTAGCACAGCTCTAGAGTGGACTAAGGCAATGAGAACGATGACTGACGTCTTTGGACTCACCACTATCGTCACCCTGTACCAGGCAGGAAACGGCATCTACGATAATTTTGACAAGGTCCTCGTCCTTGATGAGGGAAAGCAGATCTTCTATGGTCCACAACGGAATGCAGTGCCTTTCATGGAAAACCTTGGCTTCAGGCGAGACTCTGGTTCTAACCGGGCAGATTTCCTGACTGGCGTGACCGTTCCAACCGAGCGCATCATTGCACCAGGCTATGAAAACAAATTCCCCGGGACTTCTGAAGCAATTCGTGCTGCCTACGAATCATCCTCTTCCAAATCTGAAATGCAGGCCGAATGCTCCTATCCACAAAGCAAAGAGGCTGCGGAGAACACGGCTATTTTCAAGGAGATGGTGGCTCGGGAAAAGCATAAGGGAGTTCGCGAGAAGTCGCCTGTCACCACAGACTTCCTTTCTCAGGTCAAAGCCTCGGTCACTCGGCAATACCAAATCATGTGGGGCGATAAAGCAACGCTCGCCATGAAGCAAGGCGCTACAGTCATCCAAGCTCTGCTAGGCGGATCGCTTTTCTACAATGCCCCGGATAACTCCGTTGGTCTGTTTCTCAAGGGTGGTGCTCTGTTCTTCTCCATCCTGTATAACGCCCTCATTGCCCTCTCGGAGGTCACCGACTCGTTTACTGGCAGACCTATTCTAGCCAAGCATCGTTCATTTGCTCTGTATCATCCGGCAGCCATCTGTATTTCTCAGATCGTCGCAGACTTTCCCATCCTACTGTTCCAAGTGTCGCACTTCGGCCTCGTTCTCTATTTTATGGTTGGGTTGAACCGCACTGCCGAAGCCTTTTTCACCTACTGGATCACCAATTTCATGACGGCCATGTCCATGACGGCCCTCTTTCGACTAATTGGCGCCGCTTTCCCCACATTTGACGCCGCAACCAAAGTCTCCGGTCTGACAATTGTTGCATGTTTCGTCTACACGGGTTATATGATTATCAAGCCCGAGATGCATCCATGGTTTGGATGGCTCTTTTGGATCAACCCTATGGCGTATGGGTTCGAAGCTCTTCTGGGTAACGAGTTTCATTCGTCAATCATTCCCTGCGTTGGACCAAACCTCATACCAAACGGCCCTGGTTATACCGATGGGGAAGGCGGCCAATCATGTGCTGGTGTTGGCGGCGCTTTACCTGGTGCAACAACTGTCACCGGGCGTGAGTATCTCGCATCCATGTCGTTCAGCCATAGCCATGTCTGGCGCAACTTCGGCATCATCTGCGCGTGGTGGGTGCTATTCGTTGCTCTTACCATCTTCTTCACATCCCGGTGGAAATTACCCGGGGAGGGTGCTCGCAGCCTACTCGTTCCCCGGGAGCAGCAATATAAGTCGAAGCATCTGCTTCTCGGCGATGAGGAATCACAGGTGTCCACAAAGACTCTGCCAGACTCTGGAGCAACCACTCCACGAGAGACCCTCGGAAAGGAACTCAACGACAACCGAAGCATCTTCACCTGGAAGAATCTTACCTATACTGTCAAAACATCTTCCGGAGATCGAGTTCTCCTTGACAATGTGCAAGGATACGTGAAGCCAGGAATGCTCGGTGCGCTTATGGGCTCTTCTGGTGCTGGCAAGACCACTCTGCTGGACGTTCTTGCCCAGCGCAAGACTGACGGAACTATCCACGGATCGGTGTTGGTTGACGGTCGACCCATTCCAATTTCTTTTCAACGCTCCGCTGGGTATGTCGAACAGTTAGACGTGCACGAGTCTTTGGCAACCGTGCGCGAGGCTCTCGAGTTCTCCGCTCTTCTACGCCAGCCCCGCGACACACCTACTGATGAGAAATTACGCTATGTGGACACAATAATCGACCTCCTCGAGCTGCGGGACCTCGAGTTCACGCTTGTTGGTCGTCCGGGTGCTGGTTTGTCCGTTGAGCAGCGCAAGCGTCTTACTATTGCGGTCGAGCTAGTCGCAAAGCCTAGCATTCTCATCTTCCTAGATGAACCTACGTCTGGCCTGGACGGCCAGGCCGCATTCAATATCGTCCGCTTTCTACGGAAACTTGCCGAGGCCGGACAATCCGTTTTGGTTACCATCCACCAGCCGTCGGCCCAACTTTTCGCGCAATTCAATACACTCCTCTTGCTCGCCAAGGGTGGGAAAACGGTTTACTTTGGCGATATCGGAGATAACGCGAGCACTGTCAAGGCCTATTTTGCCCGGCATGGAGCACCCTGTCCGCCGGAAGCCAACCCAGCTGAGCATATGATTGACGTGGTATCGGGTGCGGCCTCTGAAAGTGTCGACTGGAACAAAGTTTGGCTGGAGTCGCCGGAGCACGACCAGCTCACCACTGAGCTAGATGCCATGGCTACGGAAGCGGCTGCTAGACCGTCAGGAACTGTTGATGACGGACACGAGTTTGCAGCTTCGATCTGGACTCAGGTCAAGCTCGTAACACACCGCATGAACGTTTCACTGTTCCGAAACACAGAATACATCGACAATAAATTCGCCCTACATATAAGCCTAGCGCTACTCAATGGCTTCTCATTCTGGATGATTGGGGATCGCCTCACAGATCTACAGAAAAATCTGTTCACTGTCTTCAATTTCATTTTCGTGGCGCCCGGAGTGATCTCCCAACTGCAGCCTCTTTTCATCGACCGCCGCGATATCTACGAGACGCGTGAGAAGAAAAGCAAGATGTATCACTGGGCTCCCTTCGTTGCGGGTCTTATCATCTCGGAGATACCGTACCTCATCGTCTGCGCCTTGCTCTATTATGTTTGTTGGTATTTTACTTGCGGACTACCTACCGCGCCCGGAAATGCCGGCAGTGTCTTCTTTGTTGTGGTAAGTCTGCTCTGTGTTTGTCAGCTCGGTGTTCAAACAAGACAATTGACATGAAGAACGTACAGGTAATGTACGAGTGCCTTTACACGGGTATCGGTCAGATGATTGCCGCCTACGCTCCTAATGCGGTCTTCGCGTCGCTTGTCAACCCGCTCGTTATCACGACCCTTGTCTCATTTTGTGGTGTCATGGTGCCATACAGCCAGATTGAACCGTTTTGGAAATATTGGTAAGCATCACTTGCCCGTTGGCCCCTAAGATTATCATTCGAGGTTGCTAACTACAGTCATTACAGGATGTACTATATCGACCCTTTCAACTATCTCATGAGCTCCCTACTTGTCTTTACCACATGGTCCAAGCCCGTCACTTGTACTCCTGATGAGATCGCCTTGTTCGACCCACCAGTCAATCAAACCTGTGGTGAATACCTTGCTACCTACCAGCAAGGCATGGGGGTAGGAACAAATCTGCTCAACCCGAGCGCGAATGCCGATTGCCGCGTTTGCCAGTATACCACCGGTGGAGACTACCTCAAGACTTTGAACCTCGCAGAGGAGTACTTTGGGTGGAGAAATGCCGGCCTTGTTGTTGTTTTTGTACTTGGTATCTACGGATTGGTGTTCTTGATGATGAAGTTGAGAACGAAGGCTACCAAGAAGGCCGAGAACTGACGCTGGGGCAGCAAATACGTGGGAGTATAGCCCGGCTGGTCGCCTGCCCATGACACCCTCCATCGCCTGGATTTTTCTTTTCGTTTTCGTTTCGTTTTCTTTTTCTTTTTGCTCTTCGTCAGAAATGAGGACGATTACATTAATTGTCCGGTCTGGTACCAGAAAAGTATGTGACCATGGTGACACTAGTTACCGTCCAACTTGTCATTTCCTTTGTCATTTTTAGGTAGTTAGAGATTTACTTAGAGTTTAATAACAATAGATTGATTGCATCACAGTCACCTCCACAGAGATCTGGAAAAGTACTTTTGATGAAAAGTTGCCCGATCTCTTCGTCATGTATGTGTGTGTTTTGCATGGACATTGAAGCACATGATCTCAGATTTTACTACATACCTTCGACATCTACATCTACTCTGCAGATAACTCAACAATAACCTCCCCTTTTTCCCCGAGCCCCTCCTTCACAGTTGTTCCCAACTCCCCACTGAGCTCGCGAATCTTCCGGTCCACCCAAACATGATCCGCATCTCCAGAATCCAACAAAATAGCCCTAAATCGCTCAACTCGCGTAGGGAAGATCTCCAATCTCTCCAGCCCAAGCCCACCATCCTTCTTCTCTTGAACAACAACCCTCCACAAAGCCCCAAGGTCATTCCTATACTCTTCATTCAGGGCATAATCATCCACAAAGTCCCCGCAGCCGTAGATAACAAGCTTCCCATGATAAACCTCGACACCCTGAACATGATGCGACGAGTGCCCATGGACGATATCCACCCCACACTCATCGATCAAGAAATGCGCAAGAGACGTAATCGGTCCATCGGGCTGCCAAGCATAATTCGGCCCCCAGTGAACCGAAAAGATTTTCAACGCAGGCTTGGTCTCCTGAGCATCAACAAGCAGTTTTCGCAGCCAAGAGCGTGTCTCCCGCGTGTAATCAAACAGATTGAATCCCGGCACGCTGGCCCACACGCGTGGATGATCAGAGGCTGAGTATATATGGACTGTGTAGCGGTTTTGGCCTTCGTCTATGGGGACTGAGGCCCTGGGCAAATGCAGCACAGCAGGCTTGCGCGCATCAATGGCTGTTTCACCCGCGCCCGCGTAAGCGACGTTCGCTGCCCGTAGTGTATTCACAGTCTCTGTGAGACCCTCGGTGTCGAAGTCGAGGGTGTGGTTGTTGGCGAGACTGGCGTAGTCGATACCGCCGGCGTGTAGAATGGGGCCTAGGTTTGCTGGGTGCATGCGATAGTTGAATACCTTGTTGGGCCACGGGATTGGGGCTGTTGTAACGGCGGTTTCGAGGTTGATGCATGCTAAGGTGGAGGAGTGGAGGATGGGCAGGGTTGTGCCCCATGGCGAGGCGTGTGTGTAGTTTCCTTTTGAGAGGAGGGTTGGATTGGCTTTTATGAAGGTTGTGGCGATGCGTTCGTCGTGCTGGTTGTTGACGTGCTCTGGCATTAGTTGGTCGAGCAGGCGGCCGAGCATTACGTCGCCTGTGAAGGTAAGGGTGAAGGCTTTTGGGGTGGACATTGTAGAGAGTGGTCAGGTCAGTTTAAGAATTGAAACTGGAATTGGTTGTTTAGAGCGGATTTGATCGAGGTTGCATTTGGGGGATCTGGACGTTGGAAGTCATTATGACATCGGTCGTCACAAGTTGAGACCTACATGGGATCGGGGAACACGTCAAGGGAAATAAATAGCGATTGCACATTATAGAATACAATTCATTTGACACATTTTTTTTTGAAAAAAAGAAAAATAATAACACAGCCAGGGACAAGATATCCTAGTAATGTGAGTGGTATCTTTGTACGCCGTTCATCTCACGAGAAACACCGATTTGCAAAACATTATCCGAATATCATTATTTTCGTCACTGCTTGGGCGGACGTCGAATCTATCGTCTCATCTCTGCCAGCTCGCGCTCCTTTGCTCTGAGCATCTCGCGCATCTGCTCAGCTTCGCGTTCAAGCCGGGCACGGCGATCAACGGAGTCTCCAAGAGATGCAAGACCAGGCAAAGGCTGCGGCGGGTGAGGCGAAGGGGAGATAGAGTGGTGAATAGGAGGTGGACGGCCCAGAGTATTATCCGAACGAGGATCGCCCCGAACATCTGATTGGTTCAGAATGGACGAGATTGAGCTGAGACGACCAGTGGGAGTAGGATTGGCCGAAGACATAATGGGAGGCAGTTGATTTGATCCTGCTTCCAATGTAGATGGGGCTGGTAGAGCCTCTGTCGCAGTCTCGGCCAATGTTCGTTTCTTGGGAATGTTGAGGGTGTTTGGAGAGGCGGACCGTCGCCCGTATTGAGACGCGGGCGAATGTCCCAGTTGCTCCACTCCCAAAAGTTTGGGCAGGCCGTGGGAGATGGAGGAACCATGTGCAAGGGGCACGGATGACACATTGTAGCCAGTGAAATCAACCGGCGGTGGCGCAAAAGGCAGGGCTCGAGGTGCGTCTTCAGTTTTTCCAGGCATCACCTGGTAGTGATCCGCAGGCTCGCTACTCATATACCGATAGTGATCGTCATGGCCATGCGCCAGAGAAGCAGGTGATGCTTCCGGGGATGTCGATGAGCCATTGGAAGAAAGGGTACCAGCGGTGGGAGACTGATCTCGGAGGGCAGGAACGACGCGTTTCCGACGTTTGATGATAGACTTTTTCATGTTGGTGGGCCGATAGCATCCGTGGAGCTTATAGTATAACCCTGCGTTGTGTTAGAGCAATCAGATCATCAAGTCTATACGAAGCCAAAACCTACCACAAGCGTTGCAAATGGGGTGGCCTTGTTCATCACGCCGCCACAGAGGAGTCACGGTTGTGCCGCAATTTTGACAAGCAACCAAGGTGTTAGAGGCATCAGCAGCAGCAGGGATCTTCACCGGTGGCTCCTCTTGCGTCGCAGGCTCAGGTTCTTGCGCTGGGTGACGACCCCACGAAGATTGGATGGCAGCCGCTCCTCGGGTAGCAGACTTGTATATCCTGTTGTTGTACGCCGGACATCCATCGCATCCTTCTGCTCCACCAGTGCCATTACAACTTCCACCACCAGGACATGACCCTTTGCAACCACCACCCTCGGAGGAACCGCCGCAGTGAGAGCTCGCAGGAGGGGCCGGCTTCTCAGCACCCTCTGATTGCATCCGATTTCGTTTCGTGGGGCGCGCGACGTTACGAGCTTTGAGGTAGAGACCGCAGGCGTTGCAGATCATCGCTCCAGTAGGAGAGCGACGCCAGAGAGGAGTGCTTTTTGTGCCACAATTGCTGAATAAAAGAAATGGGGTCAGCCGTTATAACCTAATTATTAATCGAGGCCATCCAGTCGAGACTCACCTGCAAGAATGCCCCAGAAACGTTGTGTCCTTTTGGCTACTGGGGGATGTTTTCTCGCTCGGGATTTCATTGTGTCCAATCCATTGATTTGACCCGGTTTTACCTGATCCTTGTACCATGCCATCCTCTCGGTAGTGATCTGCTAAATGTTCACGACCTGCCTGTGCTGAGGAGATCAACTGCTGCGCAGCATCCAAATCTTCCGCTGACGGTTGTCGCATTGGAACGACTTGATTCCGAGGCAGAGAGTGAAGCGCTTCCATTTGTGGGATAGACGCTAACATTACAAGCTGTGATCCGGGCCAGGAATCCTTCCGCCGTTTTGACTTTTGTGGTGGAGGACCGAATTCAATGAGCCGACGGAAGCGAAGGGGAGAGTGGAAATTCTAGGATGTGAGGGCGATGTCGCACCACAGTCGAGAGCAGAATGCACCGTCTCACAAACCAAATGTCGGTCAAGCTGACGGTTGGAGAAAGATGGGAAAGTCAGTCCAGCAGGAATATATGCAGCCACGATGATGCAGGCTCGGGGTAATGGCAGGGCGGGCGATGACTCGGGATCGCGGTCGAAAAGAAGTGAATTCGGATTGCCGTCACACAGGATCAAGAAATCAAGTGTCGAGTAGATTAACAGAGTCGACCCACTACCAAAGATATTGATCGGCTTGTATGGAATAGTGGCGACCCGACGGGGTGGAACAGTCAGGTGATAGTGATTGCGACAATTGACAGCACACCACAGGGTCTGGTCTGACTAGCAGGCGATCGTGGGAGACGGTTTCGTTCGGGGACAGTGGCCCGATGCAAAAGGACGATTAGAAAGGCAGGGATTGGTTGAGAGGTTAGGGAGCTGCAAGATGGTGATCACTCCGCGTTAGGACTGGGCAAAGTGGGCACACAAGATGTGATGGAGGCGATAAGGGGCAAGCATTCAAGGATGCAGGTGGAAAAGACAGATCAAGGATGGGAAAGCTGAAAAGGATGAAAAGATGAAAAGGAGAGAAATTGAGACAAAGAGGAGAGACCGAATTGCTTATCGCCCAAGAAAGGGATTGGGGTTTATCGATCTTAGTGGAAGGGGGATCGACGGCATATCAATCTATCACACTTTATCTATCCTCTGCCGAGGATCGCATCAATCTCATCTAATCACCATCTCTTTCTACTTTTCTTTTTTTTTTCTTCATTTCTTATACTAAATACGAAATCTCTAGCGATTCTGCATGATTCTATGTCCCCAGGATCGCATGCAGACTCCACCTATGGCCTGATGAAGTTTAGTTCGAAAGTGAAAAGACAGTGGAAAAGCTGGAAAAATCGAAAAGAGTGGGAAGAGTGGGAATTACACCTTCCCTAAGTGAGGTTAGAGTGGGGCGATGGTAGGCAATCAATAATATAATTGAAGTGATTGGTCAAAACTGAATTACTAATACTGTCATCAACTCTCTGGGTATTCCGATTGGTTCCTCGGAGATGGAACAAGCCGAAGCGATATGGCCACGCTGTACTTTTGGATGGTAATTTAGTACCGTTGTACAGATAAAAAGTACATGCTACTAGTAGTCACGAAGTAGTATACGGTCCGTACGTACATATGTATATAGTACAGGGAAGTCTCGGCACTCAAGACCCTACACTAGACCCTACACTAGTTCCTTTTATTATCAGATGATCTCTCACCGGATTACTGCAATAAGAAATCAATAAATCATTAGAGCATGTCAATGCTACTAGACAACGCTAGCCCACCACGTCCAAATATAGTACAGGTGTCTCTGTCCCTTTAGCTGGTATCAACAGAAATATCGGAGACCCAGCAAAATCGTCCATTCTCCTCTTGAGATTCCCCTTACTCTATAATGACATCCTTCGCCAATCAAATTCAGACTCAACGACATCCCAAGGTCATTGTGCTTAAGGAACGTTGCATACCGCATGCTGAAAGAAACCGCCTGAATAGACAGTATCCATTATAGCGCCAACGCGACATGATATTGTCATCGCCACCTGCCCAGGCGGCAATTTAGACCTGCTCGGCACCCCAGCCCTGGTCAGATTCGCGCATGTTCGAAGGAGGCTCGATGGAGGGAATGAACTCGAGGGCGACGTATCCGAGACCGATGAAGGCGATCAGCGAACCGTCAATGATGCGCAGCACGTGGTCGTGCAGCAGAATGGAACCGATAAAGATGTAGACTGTTGACGGGACTAATTAGCCACCGAATTCCCTCTGATCTAGAGGTGTGCAAAAGTATAACTCACAGACACCGCGGCCGAGGAATGAAAAGAGGAACGACGCATAACGGTACGCGTAGTCCGGAACGTGGGGGAGGAACTCCAGTCCGCCAACGACTAGGATCTTGTTAGCGCTGACTATTGGCCTTGTGAGCGAGCTCGCATTACGGTATGGACCTACCGAGACCGAAGACAACTGCATATGCGCCTAGGATGAATGAACTCCAGGTGCCGGTGAAGAAGTTACTGATGCCACCGAGCACCATAAACACGCCCACGGCGATGTTGACAAGACGGCTGCATTGGATCAGTACTGGCATATATATATCTCACGAAGAGCCAACATACAAGATGTTTGTGAAATCCATTGCGATACCTCCGTTGAAGGGTCTATGAGATGAAGGCGATATTCAGCTTCTTGTGCGAATCGACGATGCAGAGGACGAGTCGTTAGGCTGCAAAGTTTCGACAAAAGGAGAATTGGTGTCGAGTTGCTAAATTGGGTCTTCAAAAGTCCTACGTTAGCTTATGATACGAATACGATGCTGCTTGGTCTCGCCAATCGCTCAAGTGATGATGCAAGTCAGGTTCGCCGGAGTTCGCCAGGTCGGACCCAGTTTGTTCGTTCTATGACAAAGGAAAACATACCTTTGAGATGAAAAAGCGGGTCTGAGGGGAGTATAATGAACAACGCAGGTTTGATCAAAAAGCTCGACAGGGTTTGAATGAAGCAAAACAGGGGGAGAGAGGAAATGAGGGCGTCGACAGCTGCTCTGCTGTTGCAAGCAGCGGGTCTGCCAAGGTAACTGGTAGCTCACGTGATCTACCACAGGGCCAGTGCGGACGCTATGCTGCATTCGGCATAGTGTTTTCTTGACGTAGGGCTACCAGTCTTCACTTAACTATTATTGATCCTTCGAACGATGGATGCGAGTTTATGATAAACACTAGGGTTGGTACCTGGTACATTGTAAGCGTGAGATGGAGCTTTTATTTCGACCGCCTTGGCAAAACAGCAGAGAGCTAGAGATATAGTTATGTACAGAAAGGAAGAGGAGAAAGACAGTTAGGAAATTAGGAACATCACCTCATATCTATCTGTCTACTATATGTACTAAGTTTGATGAAAAAGATATCTGAGCTGGAAGGTGAAAATTCAGGAATAGCACACAAATATACTGTGCAAGAACGTTCGACATATAAACCCTTTCAACCCATGCAATATGGTGCTCTCTCTGCATGCGTAAACTAATCGAAGCTGCGTCCCTAGAGTAAGCATTGACATAATGCCTCTAGGGGTAGATTACAGTTTGCATTAAACGTTAAAATAAACTATGACACGTTGAATTCATGATTCATGTCTGAAAATTTCCCTTATATCTCCGCCAATCACAGACAACCATAAAACAGCGCACTGTTCTCTTTCTTTATCGCAGCAAAGTCTGGGGCATAAAACTGATAAATTAGGCTGTTTGATTGCTCAGTGAGGTGCCGTGTTTTATTAATTCTCTGTGTGTATATGATATAGCAGCTCGGGCCCGAGTTAGTTGGCTTACAATCGAATTGTATGCGTATGATGGGGGAGATTCTATAAATGATAATTAAAAATGGTCAGTATAGAGATTCAAGGAAAGTAAAATCGAGCCCGAAAAAGCAAATAGATCTAGAAATAAATGAAAGGCCACAAACTCTATATAAAATACAGAAAGATACATATAGTCAGCTAGATATGATTCGTTAGCTACTGTGCCCATTAAATCGTGAAAAGTTATTGTAGGCAACACATTCCCATCAAACCCCACGAATCTACTTCGAAGGACCCTGAAAATGCTCTGCATGTCCAGCTGCCCCGCAGAAAATCATTCAGCTGGTGCAACTCGTGATCCTGGTGGAGAATCCAACCCAGTGCATCATCATTGGCCCAATCAGTTGTGTTGATCGTCAATAATCCATGCAGACAATGTGCATTTATCATCCCTCCATGCATGTGGATCTGCGAAGTAGGGAATATGCGGAATATCACTGGTTGAATCTCGGACTAAGTTACCAATATTTCAAGAGACCAAGATTACTTCTACTAAGCCAGCTCATTGCTGACTTGACTACTCCGTACGGAGTATTCCGTGTTTAAATGGGTACTCCGTGCTCATTTAGAGATATTTCATATTGCCTCGATGAAAAGCACATAGCTCCAAATTCCTTCCTGACTGCACCTTCCCCCTTACATCTTCACCTTGGACTTGGCTTTCGAAACACCGGCATCTTCCTATCAACCTTGGAAAGCATTATTGCTTACTATTACGAGGGGCCCTCGAGGGGAAATCGATCTTCAGTCCACGGGTGTGATTCTTAATTTGTCATCTCCAAATCATGATGGAGGATATTACACCAAGAAAACCATGGCTTTTTGATATACGCTCATCCAAGCAACTGATCGGCCTCGCGGTCTTCTCGACCACTTTTACTGATGGGTTTCTTTACGGGATCGTAGGTGTGCTTATTCTTAGCTGTGGAATGGTGCTACTGACCACACGAGCTCTATTCTAGATCGTATCCGTGCTTCCTTTTTCCCTAACGGTTCGGTCTGGAGTACCAGAGGCTGACGTTCCATTCTGGACATCGACCTCTTTGGCCGTATTCGGACTTGCAATGGTACTTGGTGCCCCGATAGCAGGCTGGATTGTCGGAAAATGCGAGAGACGCCAAACACCCTTCCTGGGGGGCCTCTCTTGTGCATTTGGTGCTACCGTCTTGTTTATGCTTGGAGTCAAGCCATGGGTAATCATCGTGGGAAGGATTCTTCAGGGTCTATCTGCGGGAGTTGTCTACACTGCCGGCTTAACTCTGTTGGTGGACACGATCGAGTCGCACGAGCTAGGACCCTGGATTGGCTTCGGACTCTCAGGCATGAATTTTGGGGTCCTCGTATCACCGACTCTCGGAGGAATTGTATATGAGAATGCAGGGTTCTATCCTGTATTCATCATGGGTCTTGGCGTGGTCCTCGTCAACTTGGTCCTTATTCTGTTTATGATCGACAGAAAGACTGGTGCAAAGTATAGAGGGCAGAATGATTCCACCAATTGTTCTTCGCTTACAAAAGGAAATTCGACGAAAAGTGCCATTGCAAATGGAAAACGGCGACTATCAACTGTTGAAGATGGCGATGCAACCCTCACGACGCCGCTCCTCTCACACTCCCGCGGGACCTCTTCTGCAGTTGCAAAAGATCCTTCTTGGTGGACTATTGTCGGAGGCTTCCTTCGAAACCATCGTATATCGGCTGCATTATATGGATGTCTCATCAACACGATCTTGGTGAGCGCCATGGACGCCGTCCTCCCGGTTTTCATTAAGCAGACATTCCACTGGCTTTCCGGTGCCACGGGGGCCATGTTTTTAAATTTAACCATTCCATCATTGATAGGTCCATTTGTTGGAATGATCTCAGATAAATACGGCGTCCGATTGATATCCGGTCTCGGTTTTACGTTGGCAGCTATAGCAGTCACTGTCCTCGCTCTGATACAACACGACGATACTACAAACAAGGTTATGGCGTGCGTACTATTATCTTTCGTCGGTAAGCTCCGACCTTAGTCCCGTGAAGGTCAAAGCTACGTACAGATTTGCTCACAATAAGCAGGGATAGGGCTCAATACATCGCTGACCCCGTTGGTTGCGGAGATACCTCGCATCGTGAATGCCGTCCAAGAGGAACAACCTGATATATATGGCGATAAAAGTGCTGTTACTGAGGCTTATATGCTCCTTGATGCCGCGTTTGGCGCCGGTACTGTGCTTGGCCCATTGCTTTCAGAGCTTGCGTTTGATAACTTCGGATGGACTGGATGCACTGCCATGCTGGGGCTTTTGACTGTGTCCGCTATAGTTCCAGTGGTAAGTGGCTGTGTATTTATTCAAAATTTGTTAAACATAGTCGCTAACTTCAAAAAGGTGGTCCATTTGGCCCCATATCCCAAAGACCTGGAAGTCATCTCTCGAACACTGAACACGCATGGCTGAGGCATTGTCGATACTTTGGGGACAAGAATTTCAAAATAACATTGCCTTTTAAATTGCGAGCTCTTGATAAGGGCTAAGTGAGGAGAGACCTTCATAGGTCAAGGGCTGGAATATTGTACGTGAGGGAAAAGTCAATGGTTCTGACATTCTTGTTCAAGGTACATTGATGGAGCTGGTATATACAGTTTCAAAGCTCCTCAATCACATCCTGCCTTTTCTCCAGTCGGACCTCAGAGAGGCCATTAGCGAACAAACTCATGCGCATGGGGTCCTGCTCTAACGCATTGTATATTTCATCCAAATCAGTTCCAATGCCGATCTCATTTGCGGTCTTCAAGCTCCGTGAATCGATAGAAGGGGCAATGCTTGGCCATACGCTTTGAACATTGTTGAAGAATACCTCCACTGCCAAGTCGCCCATCCCCCTGATCTCCTTCAGTAATATTCTAGCTTTGTGGGTTTTGCCGTCTGCCAGCTTGAGGAGATTGTTTAAATCGCCATCTGTACTCATGCAACGTCAGACTCCGCTTCCACATGCAGTATAACATCGCAAACCAATCCCACAAATGGAAGGAGGGCGTACCGTATCTCTCAACAACCAGATCCGTGAGCTCACCGAGATTGGTAGCAGTCTGCTCTCGATACCGGTTGTAACCTCCGTCTTGCAAAACCATTGTTCGATCTTCCCACGTAGTTTCGGAAAGTACGTTGATGTCATGGTAGTTGGCCTCGATTAGTGTTTTGATCGTTTTCTGCGTCAGCTCATGAGAGATTGGCCTTGCTTTGATCAGGGCATCAAGAGCCATCGCCAACACTATCTCAGGGCTAGCCTCTAGCGACCGTGGATCGGCAAGTTCCGTGCCATGTAGAGGAGGTCTACCGAACTCATTTAAGACTCTGTTGATTTTCAGGGCTGCATCTTTGGGCGTATGTGCTGGCATCGTGGAGCAATTGGTGAAATGATTATAGTAGTAGTTGAATAGATCTCTTCCTGGGTCTCAAATTGAATGTCCAAGCAATTACCAATTGACGTCACAATGGCATATACGGGCCGACCAGACTTTGCAACATATGCATGCCAAGGCTAAACTATTAAAACTGACTTGTATACAACAATTCATCTGTACAACGCGGTTCCTCACAGCTTAGCGCGGGATTTGTTCTGCAGGACCTCCTTGACCAAAGAGACAGCGGCATATGCACAGCCGAAGGAGGCCTGATAGCCAAATCCTCCATGGCCGTAGTTGTGAACGATTGCCACGCCGTTAACCTTGTCTTTCTCAATACGGGTGCCACCCTCTCTCAGGGGTCGGAGGCCAACGCCATGGCGAATGATATCCAGCCCCTCAATTCCCTGTCCCTTTTTAACGAGACTGGGGCAGACATCGATGCAACGCTTCATGATGCGATTGGCAAGGTTCATATCCGGGATTCCATTCCAGTTGTGCTTTTGATAAGAGCCACCAAGGATCGTGCCACCACCTAGAAGTATTAAGCCAACGGTCTAACAGTACAATCAGCACATATGATCTTACCTGCAGCACGAGTCATAATGTACAACGCCTCATCTTCTCCGTCGTCGGTCCCGGACGTCGACATCATGGGACCGGGGTCGTTCCGGACCACGACGATCTGGCCGCGGGCGGGATACATTTTGTCGTCGAGAACACCGCCTAAGGTCTTGGAGGATAGGCCGGTGCAGTTGATCACCACATCAGCTTTCTGTCCGCCGTGGTGGGCATTAGCCGCGTCGGCGATATGCTTAAACACAGCTCGCTTGAAGACGGCGCCGTTCTTGACGCACTGACCGACCAACCACGGTAGGTAGACGGCGGTGTTTATGCAGACAGATGTGAACTCCTGGGCGTTGTCTACTCCGGGGGCTAATTGACCAGAGGGGACGTTTTTGAACTACGATCATCACGTCAGTTGCAGACCGTCTGTGGGACCGTCTCACCCTTATAACATACATCAGGCACAACGTCTTTATACCACGGGTTTGGCTGGGTCAATTCCGAGAACCACTTTCCGGTGTCTGTTTCTTGATCCTTCTTTCGGTTGTAGATCAAGGTGCCTACAGTTTGTTAGAGGGTCTTCGGATGCTGACTAGTTTCTGTGGAGAGAATCATACCTCGGAAGTGGATACCGGCCTCAGGGTATTTCTCTGTGATTTCTTTCAATGCAGGCCAGGTATCGCGCTCCCATTTATGGTGAGCACTTCCCTCTTTTCCAACCCTATAAAAAACCCACTTGATCAGAACTTTATCGAAGAGCCGGCTTCAGTCGATCATACGGCATATAGTTGGCACCGGCCCATGGGGACGCATATTCAATATCATAGTCCCCAGGCATATGTTTTGCCAGCACAGTAATCTTGTTGGCGGGGTCTTGCGACAGTAGATATGCGGTGGTCAAACCAGACACACCAGCTCTGTTACATATGTTAGTGGAGGTTCTAACCAAGTTCCTGCAGGGTGAAGCTAGAGAAGCTTAGAGCTCGGGAGATCTTACCCCAGAACTACAATGTTATTCGCCATAATGGACACTTTGATTTGAAGTGCTAAGCGAGAAATATAAGGCACAATTGACACAAAGGGGTTGATGTGCTTATATATTTGAAGCTAGGGCGAGCGGGGTGAGGAGCTATCCCGCTCATTTAGCCGATAAAGGTCTCCAGGGCCGGTAAGGTGTGGTAAAGATTACCCCACTTTGGACTTGGCCTATTGCGGGTCAGAAAAAGAGAATAAACGCGCTAGAGACTTTTTAGTGGAGACATGGGTGGATCTTCGGTACACGGTCAAAGATTTAAAAATACAACTCCGCACTTATGCGGAGGTGATGCGTACTTCCACAGGATTGGAAAGCATCGTAGCTACAGATATATAAAGCTTTTGCGATATGCCTCAAAGCTTTTGTTTCTGAAATCTCTCAGACCTTTGATTCAGTCTTCAATTATCCAGTGTTTTCACTTGGACCCAGCAAGGAGCTCCGTAAAATCCCGTTCCATCACTCCGGACTCCACTCCGAATTGAACGTTATCGATCACATTTGATCTCTCTAGGGCTCTTCAATTACCTCAATTGACGGTCTCTCTTCTCGTAAATCACTCTTCTTTGAGATATTTCAAGTCAGGAAACCAAACAGAAGCTCTTATCTACTGCATATAGAATTGAATGCCCTGAAGGCTTTCCATACAAAGAAAACCGGGCGATGTCATCGTGGGCAAACGCCCGCGTTGTGGCCAATCACCGAACACCAAGACTCACCGCCTCGCTGCGACACTCAAATGGGCGCAGGAGGGCCGAAATATTCCTTTTTCAAACCACCCGCAGGGCCCGAATTCACTCTGCGGGATCGTTTTGTTTGCCATTCTTAGATCAATAACTTCAATTTCTCTATTTCTCTATTTTCCGTCACTTCTCTACCGATCTATTTATTTGCCTATTGGTCTACACTCCCATAAATGCCGACTTTTATCCAAGTCTCCCTTTCAATATGTCACTCCTCACTAATGGTGGCAGAATCGTGCCCATACTTACGGGCTCTGATTCTCACGATCCCACCCTCGAGGTGCCTGCGTTGTTAGATGCATCTCCTCCTCCAATACCTTCGTCTTCAATCTCTTCCCCACCAACCATGCCCGGCTTGTTGCAGGACCAGCAGGCTTGCAAGCGAGCCAAGCCCATGCACCACGCGAGCTTGGAGATGGCCTCTCTTCAAGAGAGAGGCCTTTATGCGCTCCCCACCGAGGGAGACGGTAAGCCAATTACACCTGCTGCATGATTTCTAAGCTCCATTGCGGTCTTTAGAAGCTGCATCACGTTGTTTTACCTATTCTGACGCGTACAATGCCAGGTAATTGTCTCTATTACTCCCTCTCCGATCAACTGTATGGCGACACCCACCATGCGGACGAAATCCGCCAGCTTCTAGCCAACCACATGGCTTCCAATAAAGATTACTTCATGCAATTTGTAGTTGCTGAAGGTGGGGAGCGCCGCCGCCCCAAACGTGCGGCCGCATCTGCATATGCTACTCGCTCGGCCGATGTCTCCGCTCCGACCAAGGAGGATATGGAACGGCGATTCCAGGAAATGATTGCTACTACCCGCAGAAACGGGGAATGGGGCAGCTCGGAGCATCTCCAGGCATTCTGCCAGGCATTCAAGGTCGACTTGAATGTATACACCATGGATGGTGTTTCGGTGTTCCAAGATGTCAATGCCCTCCCAACTCAACCCAGGGATGTTCTGCACGTAGCCTTCCATGTAAGTGTCTTGCTGTCATGCATATCGTCGAGCCCCACTAACGACCATAGGACTTCAAACACTACTCCTCAGTGCGGAATGTTGGGGGCAAGCATGAAGGACTTCTTACCAAGCTGAAGCCATTCCAACCTATCAAGGAGGAGGAGACGATTAAGCCCGAAGTCATTCCAGACTCCAAATCCGACATCGGTCGTGACGAATTCACTTCACCGGAAGAGAAAAACGGCAGTGATTATCCAGCCGACGATGCTGGCCTTGCTGTTGACCTATATCCCCCTTGGGATATCAAATCCATCCATGAGGGATTAGGGGGCCGATATGACCGGGAGACCATTGTGGACATGCTCCAGAGATGTCGGGGCGACATTGACCGCGCCTTTGCCGCGCTCTTGGACGAGAAGCTTCCATTTGACAAAAAGGCTGCTCCCGGAATTCCTGTCAAACCAAGCTTGCAGGCCTCGCGATCTTCTTCTCCGTTCAGTACGGGTAGCAAGCGGTCCGCGGAGGACAGCGAGGATTCCGAAGATCCTCGTCCCGCACGACGTACTCGACCTAAGAAACGCCTCGTTTCCAATCTTACCTTGGGCGTTGGTATCTCATTCAGGGATGAACATGACGAGGTCGTGTCCTTGAATCTTCGAGTGAGTTCTACAACCAAAAGCCTCCTTTCAGGTGGCATATTTGCTGACTTTTCCTTTAATAGATGAACTCCGACGCAGAGGACAGTCAGGCCACAGACCCCTCTCTCCCGGGCAACACTACCCCGGAACAATCGGACACAGACGGAAAGAAATGTCGCCGCAGTAGGCGACTTTCCCGTCAACGCCCTAACTGATTTATTTGTTTCTTGCTTGTCTCCCGTCTCCGGCTACATCTTTGAGCATCTTTAGCGCTTTCTCTTGCATCCAAAAAAAGGGCGTTAGTGACGGAGCGATTGCTTTCTTACTTGGGTTTGCATATGCATCGCCCTGCGGGGCTCGCGGCCTATAGGCTTGCGGACGGAGGCGTTTTGTCTGATTATGAACTCGCATGAGGATATTGCCTGGGGCAGTCCTCAATGACCTTGCTTACAACGATACCAGGGTTTCTTTCTCCCCACTGTTTTCTAGGGTCCTTAGCTTTGGCTCTTTTTGGTCTCTTGCTTCCAGTTTGGGCCTTGACCCGTGATACGGCTTTAGTGGCGAGCTGGTGTCACTGCTGTTTAGTAGCTTAGATTCTTCTATATATCTAATGCCACACCAACTTTCTGGCTGGACTCTGTCAGTCGCGCTCGTTCCGTAGTCTTTCCCTATGTACATAGTGAATAGGGCACGGCTCATACCTTGAGTGGGTTGTACTCATAGGTACATACATGTATGTAGGTAACATGGACCGAGAGTCCCCTTGTCTAATCACATGACAAATATTGCAGTGCGTCTCACATATGAAGAGGGATCTAACTAGTTCATGCTAATTTAAAAGAGCACTAAGCAGTACTCACCAGGGAGCCAGGCAGAAGCGGCCAAATCTAATGCAGTTCGTTTGTGTTGCATGAAAAATTTGTTCTTGCTTTTAGTCTTCTAGTAGGAACTTCAGGAACGCCACCCCAATGGCGACACCATCATGTTCAATATTAGCTCTGCTCAAAGCATTCTGAGCTTGGTCCACCTTAAAAACACCGATTTCGGCCCGGCTCTGGATAATCTCCGTGACAATGTCTCCCGTGAATTCAGGATGGCCCTGGACGGTGATAAAGCGGCGCGGCGCATACATACCCTGCACAGTGCAGCGCTGGGATGAGCCCAGAGGAACCACGTTCGGGGGATAATTAAAGACAATATCCTGGTGCATTTGCTGGATGCGCTATTTGCGGTGAAAAGTATTAGCTCAGAAGCCTGCATATGTACTCGGGGTGCATGGCCTTTTGTGACACAAGGCGCAACCACAGAACTCACGATCTTATCCCGTCCAAACAACTCCTTTCCCTTATCGGTCAAATCCATATCACAGACGGCAATCTCCCAACCTTGGTCGCTTCGTCCAACCTTGGTGCCTAATGCACGCGCAACGATTTGGTGTCCGAAGCAGATACCGAGTAGGCGGACTCGATCCTGCGCGAGGACTTGTTGAGTGAATTCCACGAGGCGGTTGATCCATGGTATGTCTTCAAAGGAGTTGTGTCCTGGTTTAAGGTCACTGTGATTAGTATATGCTTTCAAATGCTTTGAGCGACCGAGTATACGCACTTGATCCTGTTAGAAGCACGGCATCGACATCTTCTAGCTTCGGGTATTTGTCGTCATTGACTATATCCCAAGCCCTTATTTCCATACCCGTTTCTGGATCGAGTCTCTCAGGCTGGTTCAAGGCAATTGCGCTAGCTTTGAGGAGTATGCGGAATACCCCGCCATACCCATTATAGCGGCGGTTGATGCTGTCAATAGGGGTGTCGCATTCTAAGACGGCTATGCGGAGAGGGGAATGCATTATTCGGGACGACGCGAAGCTGTGGACAATTAACACAGGTATGAAACAAAGTATATACTCAGGTAGCAATTGAGAAGAGTTGCCCCGCCAGACAGGTGAACACATACAACCTCATCTTATCTGTCCCGAGATCGGACCCGCTGACAAACCACGCTATTCCCGATGCGTCAACCTTGGAAACATCTATGGACTTTTTCTTTCCCTCGGCATCTGATACTGTGTTGCAGCGAATACGGATCTTGCAGCCCTAGCGCTGATATAAAGATCCTATTTCCTAAGCTGGGATTTTCTTTCTTTCTTTTCTCTGTTTTGGTGCCACCACTGCTTTCAGAGCCCATGAATCATTGTTGATGGCGTTTGCTGTACTTAGGTTGCGTGCTTGCAGAACCTTCGTCCTCGTGAAATAACATATTTTCATACATTCGTTTTTATATTTTTTTCTTTTAAAAGAAAAAAATGCCCATGGACAACAACGAGGGGCAATCAGTTAATCTTTGCCCCTCGGAGGCCACCCCACTCCTGCGCAATAATTCCGTCCACCAGAAGACGAGTTACCATGATGTCTCGTACTCCGCAACGGATGTTGAATCAGCCTGCTCATCCAGAGCTACGGAAGAAGAAACACACGCTCGATGTCTCTCCAGTGCAAGCTCTGCGTCCGAAGGACTCGATATTGGGTCGGGTTCTAGGGCTGACTCCCCCAACCAAGCGCCGAGCATCTCAACCAAAGATGAAACGGACTACGCCTCAAGGTTCATTGATGTCTCGCCGACAAGGTTCTGGGTCATCTTTAGTGGCATCATGATGGGCTACATGATCGGCTTCTTTGATTCGACCCTCATGGCCTCCAGCCATCCAGTCATCACCTCCTACTTCAAAGCAGCCAACTCAGCCTCCTGGCTATCGACGGCGTTCTTGTTGACCTCTACCGCATTTATGCCTCTATTTGGACGCATTTCTGACGCATTTGGCCGGAAACCTGTCTATCTCTTCTCTATCGGCATGTTCTTCCTCACGACAGCAGGCTGTGGCTTGGCACAAAGTATCGGCAGTTTTATCGCTGCTCGCGCGCTTTGTGGGCTTGGTGCGGGCGGTATCTTCTCCATCGGTCAGATCATCTCCAGTGACTTAGTACATCTCGAGTATCGCGGGGTCTACCAATCATACATCAACCTGTGTCTCGGTACCGGCAGTAGCCTCGGCCTTGCCTTTGGGGGCTACCTGTGTGATCATATCGGCTGGCGGGGTGCGTTTCTCATCCAACTTCCTTTCATCTTTGTCTATTTTATCGCAGCTGCTTGGACAGTCCCGGCGGATCTCGGCATTAAACAAACTGGAATGGAGCGCATGAAAGTCTGGCAGTTAGTCCGGAGTATCGATATCATGGGATCAATCATCTTGATTATGTGCGTGACTCTGTTGATTATGGGTCTGAACTTTGGAGGGAATATCTATCCTTGGGGTCATCCACTCATTGTCATCTCCCTGGTGTCATCGTTATTCCTAGCAGTTATTTTGGTGCGTTACGAGCAGCACGTCCCACGGCCCGTGCTACCAATTGAGCTCATGGCAAAGGATCCTCGAGCCAGTATTATCTTTGGCAATTTCTTTGCCGCCATGTCTATACACACCATCCTGTTCAACGCTCCGCTGTATTTTCAGGCTGTGAAGCTGACCAGCCCAACTGCTTCTGGTCTACGCCTTGTGGCCTCCTCCATAGCCATCACTATCTCTAGTGTGAGCACAGGGTTTATGATTAGCTGGACCAGACGTCTGAAACCTTTCGTCATGGTCGGTGTATGCTGCATGGTGATAGGTGGGTGTGCAGCTGCGTCCATGGGCATTGACACCTCTCAACCGCTCTCCATGGTCTGCATCTCATTCTCCAGTCTAGGCCAGGGCTTTTCATTTCCCAGCCTCATGGTATCCATTCTCGCAACCAGTGAGAAACAGGATCAGGCTGTCGCAACAACCACTCTGGGGCTGTGGAGAAGCCTAGGCGCTGTTATGGGTGTGGCTGTCAGCAGCTGGATCTTCCAGAATAGTCTCATATATCACCTTAACAGAAACGTCACTGGTATTGAGAAGAACCATATAATTACACTTGTACGCAAATCTGTTAATACCATTGCCCGCTTGGATCCAATCCATCGGCGAGAAGGTGTGTTCTACTTTTGGAGTGCCGACTCACTTTGACCTTGCTAATAACCACTCAGTCACTACGTCATATTCCGCGGCTCTTCAACTGACCTTCATATCTGCCGCCTTCTGGGGGGTAATTGTGTTAATATTGCTTGGCCGAGTCCGACTACCGCGATTGGGGAGAAAGGCCTAGACAGTCTCTGGGGTTCAGTGTTTTGACACTGAAGAGAGAATATATTGACTGCGATTTCAGCCTGTTCCAGATAACCTATGTTAGAAGTACTTGAGTACTTATCTTGACTGTATCTATTTTGATGTAAATACATTAATGTATGCACATACCATACATCCATGGGTAGTACCCATGAACGTCTCGTACTCCGTATACCGGCGATCTTGGCAAAGCGACCCACCTTTCTTTTTTTTGACTCGATCTTTAACTTAACATCCATCCACTTCTCCGCAACTTCGAGACGTCTGTGTGGCTAAGCCAGGGGCTAGTGAGTATATTCATTCGATGCTTTCGCTTTCGGATGATATTCCTCAGCTGCCCCCTTTTTGCCCCCCAGAATTATTCGCCGATCCTTTATTCCCTGCCCGTCCTCTGCCGCCGCCTGGTAGTTGGATTCAAAGCTACACTTGAATACCAATCCCGAAGACGGTCGCAATCTTCTTTTGTCTAGCTGGATATAATTTGAAACTTTCAACAACGAACATGGCCATCTGGTTAGAACCTACAACGCCATCTTGTGTATTCGGGAAGCCTCTGTCGGTTGGGACTCCAGTTGGCGCCGGGGACTAGAAACATAGTTGTGTTATAACGGCAAGAGCTATCGCAGTTCGCAGTTTACGGGAAATATGAACCTTCGAAAAGTAGCGAAGGCGCAGCCGCAGTCGCCCAGCGTCAGCACAAGGACATCCACTCCAAGCGATTCACAAAGCACACCCCGCCCCCGCTCCAGTCGCAAGAAAACCTCAGATGCACCAGATACCAAAGCTAGGAGGGTACGCACAGGCTGCCTCACTTGTCGCCAAAGACATTTGAAATGCGACGAAGCCGTGGGAAGATGTCTCAATTGTCGCAAATCGGATCGCATCTGTCGACGTGGTGTTCGTCTCAATTTCATTGATACTCAAACTGTGGCGCCCCCACACATTATCGCTCGGCCCCACGGTTCGAAGGTGACATTTCGAGATGACTCGCGAATGATTGCGTCTCTGTATGTGGGAGGATTCGAGATATACCCACCAGTCCAGCCGGAGAGTCCTGCTCAGGAGACCCCACAATCCCACCATGACTTCGAGTTTATGGGGGATGATGATTTGACAAATCTCTTTCAATCGGTGGCACATTCGTTTGACCCTCTGGGCTTGGATGTCCCGCACCCAAATGCAGCGGATTTTGTTGGAACTGATAGTTGGCACCAGTCTCACTTGGTACCAGGAGATGAACTTCTTCCGCACGGAACATCTCATTTCGCGAGGAAACTGGCTGGGAAACATGAGTACCATGCTTTTCTCACTGACCCAGAGCAAGTCTCTCTTCTCAGAATTTTTGCGGAAGAAGTCGGTCCCCGGATGGATATAATGGATGAAATGAACCATGTGGGTAAATTTCCGCTCGCTTTATTCTTCCGGTTTGCTCACAAAGCGCAGTTTTCCCAGATTCTTCCAGGTTTTGCCATTGGCGAGCCCATATTGCTAAAGGCATTTCTCGCGTGTGCAGCTAGGCATCTTTCTTTTATAGATTCTTCTTTCGGGGATGAAGAAGCGGCACATTATTATGACGCCGCTACTCGGGATCTTCTAGACGCAATCCATGATCCTAACCGTGATTCTGTACTCTGCGCAACAGCAGCCCTTGCCCTCGGTTTCTCCGAAACCATGCCAAGCCAATCAAGACACAGTGGAGACCACAGCACAGGCTCGCGAGCTTTAATCCGAGAATGTGGCTGGACTGCCAAAACTCCCGGGCTAGGTGGGGCATGTTTCAGGATCAGTATCAGTGCAGAGCTCCTGAACTGTATGCGTTATAATTGGGCATTGTCTTGGGATCCGAACTCTTGGGGAGTCAACATGGACATGGACCATTTAGATGCCAGCAATGGGGGCAATCAAGATCTATGGCATCATCGGATACTTTACATTTTCGCGAAAGTGATGACCTTGCAAGCATCTTCGCGCCCATCTCACGGTTTAGATGACGATATGGCCAGGGCCATTCAGCCCAGCGATCATGAATGGATTACCCACGACAGATGGTGTGAGCAATGGGCGAAATTTGTTCCCAGATCCCTTGCACCTCTTGGTCATTTGCAGCCATGGCAAACGACTCCCAAGTCGGTCTTTCCTGAAGTTTGGTATGTCTTCGATTATCTCGCATTCAACCCGTTCACCAACTCATACTTGCAGGCTTGTCAACCGGTCTGCCACTGTTTCTCAATTATTTTACCACGCGAGTCGTATTCTGCTGGCCAAAAAGCACCCTTTCCAGTCAGAGTTCGATGAGGATATGCGGAAAATGCAGCAAAGCCATGCGCACGAAATGTGCGGCCTTATTGCCCACACCAAAGATCGGTTAGTACAAATTATGACCAGGATTCCAGAAGTCTCTGTGTCTGACGAGTTAAATAGAGGTATCGCCGATATATCCCTGTACTTTCTTGTACTCGCTGCAGAGTGCTTAGGAACACGAGAAGCTCAAGAGGAGGTACTCGGGATCTTCGATACTATCACAGAATTGACTGGCAGCAGCGCCGAACCAATCAAGAACGATCTCAAACAAATTTGGAGCTGGGCCGATGCTCACCCGCACACCGTGACGCCAGCCCAGATGCACAACCACTTCTATGAATTAGATCCATCTCTATCAATCTCCAATCACTCGGGCTCATCTCCAAGCTTACACAATCCCTTGTTGAATACGGGTGACTTCTCATTGGAGAACCACCCGTATCAAGGATACTATGTGCCACCACATCACCACCATACACTCAACCAGTATCACTATGGGTCATTTGATCTGATTTGATGCTTCAAAAACGTTGATGAATCATGAATTATTATTGCCTAGCTTCACATCTATGTGCCCTTATACCCTATGAATATCCATGGATTATTCTGATATTCATAGACTTGATCAATGCTGAGAAAGTCGCCGATCGTGGTTAAAATAAGGACTACCAAACCATTGCTTCGTCTAGTTCTCTTCATCCTCCTCTTCAGATTTGGCATCCCATATTGCCCCGATGATCATAGGTATCCATTCTCCTGTCTCTACCTTCAACGGATAGATGCGACCGAATCCGTAATAAGCCGGGGCTTGCTGATTGGCATGATTAGCTTCAGCGTGGATGGTAGAACATATCCTCTAACGCCAATAATCATAGTGGAGACTTGGAACATAGAAGAGTGGACCCCGGTGATGGATATCGGTCAATCTCAAGTTGGCCGTAGCTTGTCACATCTGAGTCATAGGATTATAAGAGATAAATAAAGAGTCAATGAGCGCCATTTTCTGATGCAATACCTCACCTTTTAAGTCCTGTGACAGCCATGGCTTCCAACTATACCTACTCATTCTTCCGGGTCTCCAAGACAGATGGCATCGACGTCTCCGCTCAGAAATATCGAGACCTACGCTTAAAGGCATTGAAGACTTCACCCGATTCATTCTCATCTACTTTCGATATCGAAGCGGCCTTCACCGACGCCGACTGGATAGATCGTCTCACTCTTCCCGATCGAGAACTCTTCATTTGTGTCGCAAATCTTAATCCGTTGTCTCCCAATAGCACGCAATGGATCGGCCAGGTAACTCTGCGAGGTCCCTCATCTAGGGCTGATTTCGAGTTACCCATGGAAGCTTGCCAGCCAGCACAAAAGTCCGACGAAGAGGAAGAGCGATGGCAGATGCTGAGCTTGTTTACGCTTCCGGAACATCGCGGCCACGGACTTGGGGGCAAATTGTGCCAGGAGGCTATCAATTATCTCCGTTCATACCGGTCATTTCCTTGTGAAATCCAAGTCCGACTCATTGTTAAGGCGGGGAATCACGTCACGGTGGAATTGTACCGACGTCTTGGATTTACGCACGCGGGGAGGGCGACTCTGGTTGAAGCTCTTATCGCAAATGGAGATGAGGATCTTCTTCCGAAAGATCTGGCTTCGCCGAAGTATTCGGAGAGAGGGGGGCTGATTATGATATCTCGCATATCGCGCTCATGAGTTCAATGTTTTGTATGGCAATAGAATTCATTACCTTTTATGTCGATTGTACCGTGTGTGTAGGAAGGTAGCATGGAGATATCCCCAATATGGAATGACTTGACTAGATAGGGCCCCGTAGTCCTTTAACTACATATGCAAATAATATGTAGTGAGAATGGTTCCAAGTTTAGTTCTCGGAGGCCCATATTCGGCCCTCAACTTATTGCCTGCGGGAGCCATAACCAGATGGGACGCCGTATAAAATCTCTCAGAAAGAGAAAGGCGGGCCTTGAATATGAGTTGTCAGATTGGGACGAAAAGCTCGTCGGAAAACATGATGAAATCAGGGCGCTGCAGTTGCAGCTCAAGTCTGTTAAATCAACCGTAAACGGGCTAATTGCTAGCCCGCAAGCCAGGCCGTGCTTGGAGCTGGAAAGCCAACTGGAGGTTCTAAATCAGCGACTGCAGAGACATTGATCTAATCAATATGGCTAATGCACCACCACCGGTTTCATTAACCGAGGCAGTCATACTCATCAGCTCTCCTCCTTGTCAGGACTGCATCACGTTCAAGGACAAAGTCAACAAGTTCTTTGGGTTGTCTATACAATTATTTGCGGCAATTTGACTTGTGCTAGAGCTATTGGGCCTTAGAGCTATTGGGCCGATTATTTTAAACAAAGAACCACCCTCGTGTGAGGTCATGTGTAGCTCCAAATACCCACCCGGTCAAGTCTCCATGTTATTCTCCATAATGTTGATGACAATTCGACAGCGGAGTTTGATTAAAACAACGGAGTAGTTACGATAGAGTATTCCGTATTTCAGTGGTACCTACTCCGTACATAGGTAGTAAACTGGTATTCTCAGATGTGGATGGTCAGCCCTGCCCAGCGGACGGGTGGAGCCCTGAACCCAAGTGTGGCGGTGTAAGCAGGCAATTCCACCTGGGCACAGGACACGCACCTCTGCAACAAGCAACAGCCACAAGCATTTGGGATGGACACCAAATCAGTTCAAGTTCAAGCTCCAGCTACTCCAATATACATCCTTCGTGGGCATGCTTCTCCAATTCATGCTCTGTACATCTACAGCCAGAATTTACGGCTTGTATCTGGCGACGCCAATGGCTGGATCATAGTTTGGGACCTGGTCACCAAACGCCCGGTGACGGCATGGAAGGCCCACGAGGGAGCTGTTTTGGAAGCGAGAGGCTTTGACGTTGGCTCAGGTGCAACTGAGATTTACACGTATGATTCATCCACCGCTACCTAGCCCTGGAGGTACCTAGGTATCGGCCATCGTACTAACATCTGCAATAGACATGGCCGCGACCACAAACTATGTGTGTGGAAGCTTCGCCCAGAGGATGAATCTTTCCTCGATAAGACGCTTCCAGTGGATGCGACCGAGTCCGCACAGCCAGAAAGTAAAACCCAGCCGTGGTTACTCCATTCCTTGCCTGTAAATGCGCTTAATTTCTGTGCGTTCTCAATGGCATTTGTGAATTCGGACGGACTTCCTGGATTCCCATCCCAATCTGGCAAACCAGAAAACACTCTCTTTGCAGTACCCAACGCCTTAGACTCTGGTGGAGTCGATGTCTTCCACCTACCATCCGAGCGCAGGATCAGTACTATTCCCTCCGAACAATCCCTCAAAACTGGAATGTTGATGGCTGTAAATCTCTTCGCTTCACCTTCTGGGGATCTCTACGTCGCCTCGGCATATGAAGATGGCCATGTGATGGTCTTCGTTCATCGTGGAGCTCTCAAATCGGTCAGCTTTGAGCGTGAGTATATAAACAACAACCCTTTGAAATGGGACAAGCTTTATGCTGGCCGCCCTCATTCTCAGCCGGTCCTTTCGTTAGATGTCGCCCCCTCCCATGGATACTTCATCTCTTCTTCTGCGGATGCTCTGATTGTCAAGCATCCCATCCCCAGCACAGGGTCTGCGGGTTATATCCCTACCGCTGGCTACAAAGAGGAATCACCCTTGAAGATTGTCAACACAAAGCATTCTGGTCAGCAGAGTCTGCAGATCAGATCGGATGAGAAGGTATTTGCTACTGCTGGTTGGGACAGCAGGATCCGGGTGTACTCGGGCAAAACCATGAAAGAGGTGGCTGTGCTGAAGTGGCATAAGGACGGTTGTTACTCTGTAGCGTTCGGGGATACTGAAACTACACCTTCGTTGGCGTCTCGATCACCTGAGTCTGCAATAAAAGAAACCCCAGATGCAGAGCAGGGCGCAGCAGGGCAGACGACCGTCGACGGACACAACTACTCTCTTGCAACAGTGCAGCGACAACGGAGCCGAAAAGTACAACAAACTCATTGGCTAGCGGCTGGGTCCAAGGACGGGAAGATTTCATTATGGGATATCTACTGAGATAAATGCTAATGCTATAAAACAACCATGCGACCATGCTTTTTTTGAAAAAGTCTACAGAGCAAAAGATCAAGCCAAGTTGAACTCGTTGGCTCCGGACATATGCTCCCTCATCTTGGCTCTCATCTTGCGAGCAGCCTCGTCGGCAGCATTTGCGGAAGATGGGGCTTCCTCGGCCTTTCTCTTATTGCCTGCAACACCATTTCGTGCTGCCTTGAAGTCCTTCTTGGTGTCTTCTTGTCCAGGTCGGAGGCCAGGGACGTTGATTTTACCCGGTCGATCACGCAGGGCGAAGCTCTTCGCAAGATGTCCCAAGTGAAGTTCCTTGATGTTGAACATGCTCCGTTCAGTTGCGGTGTGGGTCGCGTAAGCTCGGACATGGGATTGGAACGCCCGTCGAGCCATTTCCAAATAGTCTGGGTTATCAAGTGCCCAACGCTCCACGTCCATCTGCCAATCGGTCGTCTTCTCCTCCCAGTTCTTCTTTTTGTTATCGTTGCCGCCAAAGCCACGCTTGAGAATCTCGTTTGCATCAGTGCGGGTGAGCGCCTTGCCTCCGTCGCGGTAGCCGCGCTTTAGAACTTCCACATAGTTCTCCTCGCAGCCAGGCTGGAGGAAAATGAGGGCGCGGCCGTCTCGTCCTACACGAGCAGTACGACCAATACGATGAGTGTGGTCATCAGAGCTGAAGGCCGGGTCGTATTCGACGACCAAGTCCACGTTGGGCAAATCCAAACCACGTGAAGCCACATCAGTACAGATCATGACACAAGCCTCAGTACTGCGAGAGAAAGAGCCGAGGGTAGCAGTTCGAACATTCTGGGGAAGCGAGCCGTGCAGTCGGTGTAAGAGGACTGGATTCGTCGGAGTCGAAAAGGCTCTACCGGGAGCAATGGTGCCATGGGGTGATAGTTTCTCCTTTTCTCCGTCTTTTTCTTCTTTTTCTTCTTCTTCGTCCTTCTTGTCCTTTCCTTCTTCGTCGCCCTTCCTTTGTTGCTCGCGATCTTGATTCCTTGAGAATAGCTCGAAATGGAAATCGACTACGTCAGCGCAAGACATGAAAACAATGGCCTTCATAACTGATCCCTTCCGCATGAACGTCCTCTTTAAGTAGGCTGTTAATGAGACCAGACGTAGCTTAGCTGGGACAATCGCGTACGATTGCTTGAGCTGGGCGGGCACGCGGAATGACTCTTCCTCGTCCTTATTTGGCTTCTCGTCATCGTCATCGGACGGGTCGGCCTTGATGTGTACCGCGTCCTTCAAACTGATTTCTCCCAGCTTTTGGACATTCATCTTCAGCGTAGCAGAACACAGAATTGTCGTCCTGCGTGCAGGCACACCGGGAATGCGACTCGGCCGTTGTCTAGCGTCAAGTTTCTTGACAATGCCTTGCAATTCCTCCTCGAAGCCCATGTCCATTAAGCGATCACCCTCGTCAAGCACGAGCCACCGCACATTGCCGACCTGCAACGCTTCTGTATTATCGAGGTGGTCTACCAATCTACCAGGTGTTGCGACAAGGATGTTCAATCCTTTTCTCAACCGTGCCTTCTCTGACTTTTTCTTTTCTCCACCAATTACCGTTCCACAAACAATCCAGTTTGCGCAGCGCAGGATGTTCTCCAGCACCACAGAGATCTGCTTGCACAGTTCACGGGTGGGCGCTAAAATAATAGCGAACAATCCACTGTCTCGGTGCACTTGAGTATCATTATGTTCGTTTGTCGCTTTTGAGAGATCCATAATCCGCTGCACCAGCGGCAGAAGATAAGCCAGAGTCTTTCCGGAGCCAGTTTCGGCTTGGATGAAAGCATCACTTTCCTCCTTTAGCAATTGTGTAATTGAGCTTCTTTGGATAGCCGTGGGCGCCTTGAGCTCCAGCTTTGTGAGCAGATGCGCCGCGAGATTAGGGGACAAGCCCAGATTCGTGAAGGTATCCAGTCCGTCGATCAGCGGCGCATTAGTCGGCTTCGCATCTTCCGCCTCTCTCTCCTCCTTGGGTTCTTCGGGATTGCGCGCCTCTGGGTTGCTAGTAAAGAGCGAGGAAACGAAGTGCTTGGGGTCTCGTGGATGTTGCTGTGGTCGTCGATCACCACCGGAGCGCGGGGCGCTGGGGCGATTGAACGAGTCTGAGTCTTCAGTTCGTTGTCTTTTCACGGGCCGCGGACCGAGTTGGATCTGGTTTGGGTTCTTGGATGCTGCATTACGCGCAGCTGCGTCTCCATCTCCGGGTGCCTTCTCGGAGACTCGGTGGGCTGAGCGCTTCTTTGCAGTAAGTCGGTCTCGCCATGTTCCTCCCTTAAACTTGGCTTCAGGCTTGATGACGCTGTCGCCAATGGTAAAGTTCATAAGCATTCCATCGTCGGCCATTTTGAAAGAAGGTGAACCCCGGTGAAAATGGAGGGGAGTTGCGAAAGGTTTTCGTTGGACCGGCGATCCAAAAGCTTTCGAGACTTTTTTTTGGCGCCAAGACTTCCAGGCCCTCAGGCAAATTTTCTCCACGACGTTACTAAGGATTTGCCCTACTTTGTTTACATTGAACTGCAGAGGTAAATGGAGAGATATATTTGAATATTTTGATGTCTATCTGGCTTTTAAAGAATGTATGTAAGTGGCTTGCT